TAAATTTTAGGTTATCTTAGCTTTTCAATAATTTAATGCGTTTTGTTTCAAATAAACTCACTCATTTGTTTAATTATTCATTCATTCACTCACTCGCTCACTCTCTTACTTACTTACTTATTCATTTATTTATTTATTTATCTATTGCCATGAACTAAATTTTAATTTGGAGGCCGATAATCATAAATGCTGAGTTGTAGTTTCACTGTTGGTAATAAACAGCTAAAACTGTGCTAACAAACAATAAAACAACAACTAGCAATAATAATAATACTAATAACAGTAGAAAAAAGTATATTTGTAGACATTGCATATTAACTGCACTGTAGTAATAAATAAATGCATTTTAATCAATTGATAGATTTTACTAATTAAAAGAGAAATATCTGTGTATACTATATATACACAGCATATACAGTGCTCAGCATAAATGAGCATATCCCATTTTAAAAATGAATATTTTTATACATTTTTCAGTGAATATGGGTAATATATAGGTGCATTTGGAAAAAAAAAAAAATTACATAACAAAAATAAAAATGAGGCAAGAAATGAGAATTTATTAATTTTTTTTTGAAAATGTTATTTAATTATTTTATTATCCATTACATATCAGTTTGGGCTACTAATATTTGAACCATTATTGCAAATTATTGTTGTATTAGCTTCATATTTGCTTTTAGTACTGACTAAACTAATGTAGTTGAAGTCAGAATTATTAGCCCTCCCTGTATATTTTGTTCCCCAATTTCTGTTTAATGGAGAGAAGATTTTTTTCAACACATTTCTAAGCATAATAGTTTTAATAACTCATTTATAATAATTGATTTATTTTATCTTTGCCATGATGACAGTAAATAATTCTTTACTATGCTGTAAAAACCAACAGTCAACTTTATTGAATGAAATGAGAGTACTTAACTCAAAATTTACTGAAAGTTAATTGTAATTTGAGAAGAGTTTTAACTAATTAGTAATTAGTTAATTAAATACTTCATTACTTTAATCTAAATGGAGTCCGTTCACAGTACTCATAAAGATTAGTTTTTTAACTCAAATAGTTTGTTGCAATTGGTTTCCTTAAACGGTTTGAGTTGCCTTAACTTATTGGGTTTTACAGTACTCAGTTGGTTTGAGTTTTCTTCATTGATCGGGTTTTACTGTGCTCAAATTGCTTCATTTACTCAAATAGATTAAGTTCACAGTACTCATTAGGACTAGTTTTTGAACTTGCAATCGGTTTCCTTAAACGGTTTGAGTTACCTTAACTTATTGGGTTTTACAGTGTACATATTTTTCAAGACACTTCTATACAGCTTAAAAGGACATTTAAAAGCTTAACTATGTTAATTAGGTAATTGATAACGTTTGTTCTGTAGACAATAGAAAAATATATAGCTTTAAAGGGGCTAATAATTTTGACCAAATAAAAAATGAATCAAATAAAAAGTTTGTTTCTTTCTCCAAAAGAAACAAATATTATCAGACATACTGTGAAAATGTCCTTGCTCTGTTAAACACCATTTGGGAAATATTTAAAAAAGACAAAGAAATTCAAAGGGGGATAATAATTTTGACTTCAACCATACAAAAATATAATATTGTAAAGCATCCTATAGAAAATATTAATTTAAATGACAGATTTGTGAGGAGTGTACTCATATATGCTGAGCACTATATCTGCAGTATATATATATATATATACACATCATTTTAGTAATTTTAATAAATCTCAGCTGCATTGTGTCAGTATTTTTGTATAAAGGAAATTGCTCAAAAAGTAGTAACAAATAAAGCAAACAAATTTATAACAATTAATAAATGCTTGTTTAGATCTAAAATCAAACCAAATAGAAAAAAATGCTTTTATTTTGGTTTGTTTAGCACTGTATGTTTTATTTCTACAAAAACACCAAGACAGGCACAATGCAGCAATCCCTCATTTCTTAGTTTTACACATGCGCTGCCATATGCTTTAGGGTCAAGCCATGACAAATGGAAACACATTGTTGTAAAAGGGTTAACCTTTTCTCTCCGCTTTGCCTATTTGTTTATTTTGCATGGGTCATAACACCCTCTATCTGAAATCATTGATAGTCCATTAAAGAAAGACAGTTTTCACAATGCAAGTCTGACATTTGGCAAGAGCCGAACTACTAGTCATGAAACGCAGAATTGGTTTCAGATGGGCTAAAGAGAGCGCGTGGGTATTTTGGGACAAAGGAGGAAGAAATGAAGAGAATAAAAGACGGTAGAAGAAAAATGTGGGGGCAGAGAAAATATCCTAGAGAAGAATGAAATGAGGTCCATGAGAGAGTGAAAGAGAGAGAGAATACCAGCAGCTCGGCTGTCAATCTTATCTGTCAGTAAAGCATTAGAGGTCTGCCACCATCAACCAACAGCTGCAAAGAGGTTTTGCACGCTAGAATTCCTCTGTCTGTGAGAATGACGAATATTTCTTCAACAAAAACTTTTCCATACGGGCAAACTAAAGCATGTTCCCTCACTGTCCTGAAAAAGAAGGAAGCTGATGGCTCGGGGAAGAAAGTTTGGGAAATTAAACATCTGATCAGGAGACACTTAGTCTATAATTGCAAGAAATTTTAGGGAAGTGTTTGTATATTTGTGGACAGACTTTTACAGTCTGACGCTGAATGAAATCATTTGGCAGACATGAAAGTTAAGTCTGACGTTCTGCTTACTTTACGACATATTTATAAAACATCTGCGGCAAGAGCGAACATGTAAGCGGATGCAATTATAAAACTAGATCCCTCTAAAAATGTAAGCAGTTCCTCTATTGAGTTAGACTGATTTCAAGTAAAATATTACTTCAAGAATGAACAAAACAACAGTCAGTTAACCATTTCATATATACGGTAGTAAACATTTAAAGTGGATTGTCACCTTTCATCGATGTTATCCTAAAACTATTGAACAACACCCATTCTTGTTCTAGGACTATTTTGAAAAACTTTTTTCATTCACTTTGAATGTTGACTACTGTATATACAGTTACCGACCACTTTATTAGGTATACCATACTAGTATGGGGTTGGACCCCATTTTGGCTTCCAAGCTGCCTTATTCCTTTCTGGCATAGATTCAACAAGGTACTGGAAATATTCCTTAGAGATTTTGGTCCGTATTGACATGATAGCATCTACTGCAGATTTGTCGGCTGCACATCCATGATGTGAATGTCCCGTTCCACCACATCCCAAAGGTGCTCTATTGGATTGAGCTCTGGTGACTGTTGAGGCCATTTGAGTACAGTTAACTCATTGTCATGTTCAAGAAACCAGTCTAAGATGATTGGGCTTCATGACATGGCGTGTTATCCTGCTATAAGTAGCCATCAGAAGATGGATACACTGTGGTCATAAAGGGATAGACATGGTCAGCAACAATACTCACGCTGTGGCATTGACATGATGCTCACAGGAGTGGCACCCGGTGTGATCTTCTGCTGCTGTAGCCCATCCGCCTCAAGGTTCTATGTGTTGAGCATTCAGAGATGCTCTTCTGCATACCTCATTGTAACGTGTGGTTATTTGAGTAACTGTTGTTTTTTTATCAGCTCAAACCAGTCTGGCCATTCTCCTCTGACCTCTTGCATCAAAAAGGCATTTGCGCCCACTGCACTGCCGCTTACTGGATAGTTTCTGTTTTTCAGACCTCTCTGTAATTACTAGAGATGGTTGTGCATGAAAATCTCAGTAGATCAACAGTTTCTGAAATACTCTGATATATTTATTTATTTATCTATTTATTATAATTCTAACCATTTACTAATTTACTAACCATTTACTTATCCTCCACCTCCAAAAATAAGTACTGTACCTTTATTCTGTCACACACTAAACATTATATTTTGAAGAGAACTGAAAACCTAAAACCACTGACTTCTAAAAAAAAAACTTTATAAGTCATAACAGAGTGGCTCAGAGTTTAGCAATGCGCCTCACAGTAAGAAGTTCACTGGTTCGAGACTCTAGACTGGTTCTGTGTGGAGTTTGCATGTTCTCCTCGTGTTTGCGTGGGTGCTCCGGTTACCACCACAATCCAAAGACATGCACTATATAAGTGAATTGGGTAAACAAAATTGGTCATAGTGTATGAGCTTGTGTATGTGCGAGAGTGTATGGGTGTTTCCCAGTACTGGGTTGAGGCTGAAAGGGCATCTGCTGCGTAAAACATTCCGGAATAGTTGGCTGTTCATTCTGCTGTGGTGACCCCTGATAAAATCAGGAAATTAGCTAAAGGAAAATAAGTTGGTGTTTCCAGCTTTCTTCAAAATGTTCTTTTGTGTTAAACCTAATAAATAAAAGTATAAAGGTTTGGAACCACTTGAGGGTAGGCTGAAGAACATGTAAAGGGTGAGTAAATGAGGAAGGCTGGTTTATACTTAACACGTCTGCACGAGCATCTTCATGAAGGTGGTTACAAGAGTTTTCAGAGCGTCAGGTCCACTGTTATGAACAGACACAGTGTCTCACTCGGATGTCAATACACAAAGAGTGAAACTTAAGCGCTCAGTTGATATGTTAAAAATCTGAAGTACATCTATTCTGGAATCAGTGGCAAAAGAAATCAGTTTATATAAGCCCTGTTGCTAGAATTATGCCATCATTGCTCCACTGCACTGTTTGTCTGTTTGTTTGTTTGTTTTTCAATGCCGGGCTGTAAGTGTGTTTGGTTTGAGCAATGTTGATTGGACAGAACAAGATTGTGCTTGTCACACAAAGCCTCTCACACAAAGAGGGACAGTCATGCACTTGCTCACAGGTGCATATTCGTGTTTTATTTACAAATTTATATTATATTCATATTACAGCCATTTGCGATTTGCTAAATGCAATGTTTCAAATCCTGATTACCATTCAAGTAAACGATGGCAGAAATTCTAATCTGAGGAGAGCTACCACTTTAAATCCCACCTTTTGTTTAAAAATTCCTTTCATTTAAAGCGCAGTTAAAGATCAGCTAGCAGAACTAACCTGATGGCTCTTCTGTGCTGCTTGCAGTGGTGGTTGGCGGAGCGATGGGAATTTCTGTTGCGAAAAAGAATGCATAGTTAGCAGTCAATCAATCAATCAATGAAAATAAATAATGAATTGATACTCTCAATGTCTGTTTACATACAAGTTAAATAAAATTTGATAAAAATTATAATACTGTAGTTTAAATTCGATACAAATCTAAATATAAGTTAATATATGATTTTTAAATCTATTCCAACTCAGTGTTACAGGTTTCACATTAGAAATCCATTCACAAATTGAACTGAAAACACTGATTCATAGAATTTGCTCAACTGCTCCATCTGTATCCATCTTCTGCTGTTACGGAAAAACTGTGAGATACACGACTTGATTCTTTCATTCCTCCTTCCATCGCCTTCTAACAAATGGAGGGAATTTTACACTCAGTAAAGCCATGCGTGCAGAAAGACCTTTTCATCAAAGAGATTGAACTCATAAAAGCAGGAATAGTTGTTGTTGTTTTTTAAATGAAACATTAAAATACAAGAAGAAAAGGCAGTTAATGCCACAAGGACAAAACAAGAGGAGAACGGAAGCAGTTCAAGTGTGCTAAAAGAATAATAAAGAATTTGATAAAAGAGTGTGCATGTGCTTTGTGAAGCTGGTGCACAAACATGCAAAAAAAAAAGTGTTTTTGAAGGAAGAAAGAATCAAGTCTTCTGATTAAAAAAAGATCATCTGGCGAAGTCCAGAATGTTCACATTGAACTTTGACCCAAGATTTTTTTTTTTTTTTGACCATCATTGTGCTTTTGCCCAAGAAAACAAGGTTTAAATGAAGATATTGATCTATAATGTTACTCATCCAGGATGACATCTCATACTGTATACTAAAATAATCTAAAACACAGTATTCTAATCAATAATGCTTTGGATAAAGTACACAAATCATATTGTTTTAAGTATATTTAAATATAGAACTATGAAGAAAAGAGGCATTTTGGCAAGATGATAAGTGCTGTACAATGGTGCACATTTCTGGTGGTCTTACTTCCTGTGTCAGGATTAAACATCTTAGTTTTTGCTTGGGAAACTGATGAACGAGTTTAATGGCCGATTAAAATTACAGTGCAAGCATGTTACAGATATTTGAATGCTTTTAATTTATGCTTTAACAGGATAAGTGGACATGGTAGTAGCCAAGACTTTCTTGGATTTAAACACTGCTTGAATTTATATGGGCTATTAAAATAAAAACTGATTATTTTACAATTATAAGAGAAACTAAATATTTTCAATTTAATTACCGGAATGTACACTCAGAGATATATGATTGCAAAAAGTTATAGGCTGAACTTAATCCATGAAGCTCTTTGCTAAATAGTTTCCCAAAGTATTTTCCAGAAAGCTTTGTTATATTTTCAAACATTGTTTCATTGACAAAAGCACAATAAAACGCTTTGACGCTTTGAATTATTATTATTGTTATTATAATTTTTTTTTTGAGAATTCTTTTTGGAATCTTTAAACAATGATGGTGGAAATCTTACAATGTCACTTATTTGGGTAAATAATAATAATAATAAAATATTGTATACTCCTTGTGCATGATGTTGAAGGTTAGTTCACCTAAAACATGCCGTTAATTACACAAGTTCAAGCCATGTAAGGATGTAGGTGACTTTTGTTTTTCTTTAAAAAACTATTTTAGCTGAAGCTATAGTCCTTAGTGATTCGTAAAATGCAAGTCAAGCATTAAATGCTTATCCTGGATTTTACACTAGCTGTAAACAAACAGCTGTGGATTAAATCATGTTTGGTTTCCTGCAACTATAATTTTGCTTTATAAGACCTGAATGAATTGTCAGGGAACCATGAGTGTTGATTTTTCCCTGCATATGTGTCTTTGACTCTCACCCATTGACTTAAATTTGCAAGTCGTGAATCACCAAAAATCAGTTTCACCTAAAAATATTCAAAATAAAGTCAACTATATCTAGGATGGCCGGAGATTGAAGAAATTAAAGGGATAGTTCACCCAAAACTGAACATTTTGTCATCATTTACTGTGAGTTTCTTTCTTCTGTTAAACAGAAAAGAGGATATTTTGAAGAAAGCTAGACCCCTATAACCATTGACTTCCATAGTATTTTTTTCCTTTTTATGGTAGTCAATGATTTTTGGTTTTGAGCTTTCTTCAAAATATCTTATATCGTGTTTAACATATACTAAAGAAACTCATAAAGGTTTGGAACCACTTGAGAGTGAGTAAATAGTACGGTTTTTTTTTCGTTTTTTTCTGGGCTATCCATCCCTTAAACAGCAGATTTTCATTTTGTGTGAACTAAACTTCAACAAGACATTGTGCCAGATTCCACTTTTTAATGGTACAGAAATACAGATTTTCATGTTCTCCCATAAGAATTGGATCCTTAAGAAGAGTTTCAGTCCTTAAGAAGAGTTTCAGCTTAGAATCTCAATGTGCAAACTGCATTATGGCTCATTTGGGATTGAAGTGTTTCAAAAAAAAAAAAGAAGAAAGATCTTGACATTGAGTGATCCACATACTTATGCAGGGGGCAATGGGTGATCGGCTCTGCTGGTAGCCGTTAGCACAACGGTTGCATGTGATACCCGTCACACCGTCTTTACAGGGGCATTGGCCTGTGGTTTGGTTACAGGTTTTGCCCGCGGCCCCCACAGGATGGCAATCACAGGCTGCGAGGAACAGAAGAAAAGAGATAAAAGAACACACGTGTGGGGAAACGCAGAAACAAACAGTACATACATACACAAAGCACAGATAAACTATAAAAGTGGCTATAAGGGCTCAAGTTTGGGGAAAAAAGAGGGTGGAAATTGGTGAAGCAGCTGAAAGAGACACCGTGTTTATGTGAAAGTGCTGATGATTCTTTTTTGTGAATTGTGACAAAAAGCGTGCACACACAAATTAAACACAAAACATAAGTATGGTAATCAATCATTTTACACAAGTAGTGTCCTGAGAATGCTTTTTTTTTTTAAGTGCATTAATATGATACCATAAACACATGAAGACGCAACAAGGAAAATGTCTCTCTGAGCTGTTTTTTACAGCAGCCCCCAAAATGTAGACTGTTTCACAAGAAAGAGAGATAAAATGTAAAGCTTATGTTAATAAGTTGTAAAGCTTGGTTAATTTTTGAGTGGAATGTGTACTCTTCGAATTTGTGTATAAAAACAAGAAGTTATAGATTAGTTGTTTGCTGATTTAATTAAATGAATGGTAATTTTTACTTAAAACTATTTTATAAAAACACATTTCCAAAGTTATTTAGTTTTTTCATGACAGTTGTAGAATAAATGTAAGTGTTCTTCTTAAATCAAACATGTATATATCTCCTTCACATATGTTTCTACAGCATGTGCTTCTCCAGAGTGAGTTGATAGGAACATTAAGCTTATGCCAATAATGTCTGTCACATTTCCTTTCTCTTGGGAGGTCTCCTTCTGACATATGGCTCAGCGTCTCTCTCCACTTCTTAAACCGTGTGAACTGATTGTATTGCCTTTGTGTCAAAACTCCTTTCAAGTCCATTTTCTTAAACTCCCACCATGGGTGGCTGCATTAAAGTCATTTAGTAAAAGCCCAATGCCATTTACTCAATATTTCACCCCACCACCGCTGAAGTGATACTCTGTCAAATGTTTTGCACATTAAATGAGTAAATTGGCTCATATATTTTATGAGTAATGAAGCACAGAGAGCTGAGCTTAAACTGTATTTCTGCAAGCAGTAAAGGGAGTGTTGGTGCTGAACAGAGAATCAGACACTCCCTGCATGTCTGTCTTTTCTCTCTTGTCATCGAAGCCAACTTTATGTCTTGTCATTTGGAGCTGTCATTATGTAGAAAGTGGCCACACTTTGTCTCTCATCACAAATGTACAGTAAAACACCCTAAGGGCGCAATAAACACCTTGGATGACTAATTCTTAATAAATGAAACAGGTTCACAGCCTCAAATGTGAAACAGGTCAAATTGTTTTTGTGTCTTTGTGGAATTTAATGGCCTTAAACAAGTTTTCTGCTGCAATATGTAATTAAGTCTTTGTGGTTGGATCATTAATTGAGGGATTAACGGCATTTTCAACATTTTACACTTATCTGATGCTTGATTATAAAGCTTGTTTGGCATGCTGTCCCTGAGGTCATGAGATCCTTGAGTCCAGTGCTCCCTCTTGTTTGCAAGGCGAGAGGGGAGTTTGAGCTCAGGTTGATCTCGAGAATTTCCCTGCTGTAGTAGCTAACAAATAGTGATTGCTCTTAAGAGATAACTACTTACTGGAGAATGTCTATGGTGCCGATTCGGATTAGTCAATTAACTTAAGTTGCAAGTTTTTGGATGGTAGGAGGAAATCTGGGAAACCGGGGGAAACCTATGTGAGCACGGGGAGAATGTCAGCTAGAATGTCAAAATGTCCGCACAAAAATGTCAGCTGGCTTGGTAAAGACTAGAACAGTGACCTTTCTGCTGTGAGGCAGCAGTGCTAACCACTGGGCCACCGTGCCACCCATCTAGGAAAGGAGAAGGAGTAGAAGTAGAAGGGGGGATTCTTCAAAACGAAGATGGCTGTTATATGGAACTTAGGGTATTTATAGTGGCTTAAGAATCGTCTGATTGGTGAATCATAAATTGGATAATTAGAAGCACATGATCCCGTTAAAACTAGTTTATAAATAAACTTCACTTAGCATAATATAGATTACAAACAAATTAATGATTATTTGTTGTAATATTTCTTAAAAAAGAAAAAAAAGATTACACAGATGCACTTGAGCAGGTCTTTAAAATATTAAACTGAAGTTTTAATAAATCAGCCACAACATTTAAACAACACAGACATGAGACATAGACAACTTATGAACCTTTTCTGTATAATTTTAGAAGTCTACTGACATAATGCTAAGCAATTAAACATAAAGCCCTATAATAACTAAGAAATTGGCGAAGCGATGCATGCTTTTGACCAAATGCATTTTCATTGCAAGTGCCTTGTCATCATTTATTTATTTAATTATTTTGCTTCATTTTAAAGAAAACAAGAAAATACTATTAAATCTTATTGTTTCAGAAACAAGTCCTATTTTCACGCTCCCGAAATTCTGTAAAACAGAAAATAGTTAAAAATAGTATCATGATGATTATTTTGAACATTTAAGCTTTACCTCGATTAGCTGATTGTTTTATTAGGGGTATAGCTAACTGGTTATGTCTATGGGTGAGCATGATTGTGCATCCTTGTTCTATAAAGAAAAATAAATAAAATTATGAAACACTATTTTATACAGCCAATATTGTCTAAACATTTTAAGACATTAACATGTAAGTTTATACTAATAATACATTTAAGTGAAGGTTTCTCCTGGAGAAACTGGCACATGCCTGACAAACTGTCCATATTGTACTGAGGTCTAAATGATTGTAAAATGCAAGGGTGCAGGTGTTAGTCTCTCAAATATCTCTATCACTTCAGCTGTCTGATAACAGCCTGTCTGGAGAGTGTTTAAGTGGTCGTCCACTTAACAGTGAAGTGCTGCTGCTACACAGATGCTGAAGTAGATATGGATCTACTGTTTCCTCTCCTCATCCACTAACTCTCAGTGCTGACACGTCCTTGATGAAGAACCAAGCTGAGAGATTAGAGCTCAAAGCATCCATCCCCCATTAAGGTACTTGACGACAATTTTCAAATTAGTATTAATAATCAGTAAACACGGGTGGCGCGGTGGCACAGTGGGTAGGTAGGTTGGTGGTTCGAGCCTCGGCTGGTTCAGTTGACATTTGCTAGTTTGCAAGTTCTCCCCATGTTTGTGCGGGTTTTCTCCAGCTGCTCTAGTTTCCCCCACAGTTCAAATACATGTGGTACAGGTGAATTGGGTTAGCTAAATTGTCCGTAGTGTATGTGAATGAGTGTTTATGGATATTTCCCAGTGATTGGTTGCAGCTGAAAGGGCATCTGCTGTGTAAAACATATGTTCGATAAGTTGGCGGTTCATTCCGCTGTGGTAATCCCTAATTAATAAAGGACTAAGTTGAAAAGAAAATGAATGAATAAATATGATATATTTTACTTGTTAGGCAAATATGAACATGCAAATGGACTTTTAACATTAACTTTGTGTGTAAGTAAGCTCTGCTTGATGAGAGCATTTAATTTATTTGAAAGGGACCTGCACACAGCAGATTGCACAATGTGAGAAGTTTCGATCTCTGCCAGTAGTTCCACATAAAGCTGCTGTTTGAAGTCTGAGCTCCTCTCCTCCATTTAAAACATCATGTTGGGAGTCGATGGGGTAATTTGTGTGTTGTTGGAGTTTAGCCAGCTCAGTTCAGTCAAGAGTATTGGAGTTATTAGTTTCTGCACTGGCCCACTAAAAACTTCTGAAGCCAATAAAGGGAAGAGAAAATGCGAGTGGTTCGAGTATCACTGAGTGTTTTGCTGCTATCTTTTGAGAGTCTGTTTTTGCTTAGCTTTGTTTTTGAGTATGTTTATTTCTTCTTCTTTTTTTTTTTAGATAAACTTATTTTTTTAATTAATTTCTTTTTTTTGTTAATCCAAGCATTAGGAGGATCATTTCAAAACTGACTGTTGTCCTTTTCATGTGCTACATTCTCATCTAACTGAAGCCAGCCATAGAAGGTTTTTTTTATCTAATGAGAAAAATGAGGTAATGTAAAACAATATTTTCATATCTCTAACAGTAGAGAGCTATTTATTTGTGGTTAATAATAGCACTTTGTTTTGTGACGATGTGGAACATGCAAAATGAAAGACCCATGGCAACCATGCATTGAAGGCACAATTAGATTGACTGGCTTATGTCTCGCTGCTTCTGATCCCATCAGAGCCTGATGTCATTCTCTGTAGCTTGCTAGTTTTGGGAGTTTGCAAACCATATAAACTGAAACATTCCATATAATTCACAAGCAAGAAACCATACTAACCGAAAATGTATGAAATATTAACAGCCCACCCAATAGTGTGATGGGCTGACAGTTTGCAGAGCACCGCACACTTCTATGATCTAAGTGTGGCAAACTGTGTTAACAAAATGCCTCATTTAACAAATCAGTTCTATTTCAAAGAAGTCACTCACTCTAGTGGGCAGGAGAAGTGATGAAGTTAATGTTTCCTAAGCAGCGCAAAGGAAACTTATGGAGCAAACAGCTCGAAGAGACGAACAAGATGCACCTTGCAAAGCAAAGCTGCCTCCACTTTGTATGTTTACAATGTGGTTTATGAAGGATGAAGCCACAAATCAGAGGACTGAAGTCTCATTAGAAGCGCTAACTTAATGCAGAGAGCAGCAGACTTTCTGCATGAATCTTAAAGAAAAACTTCAAGTTGCAAAATGGAAAAAGTCTGCAGTGATATATCCCTCGCCATTACCATTTGTATGGAGTTTGGTGTATGTAGAGCAATTTTTATCTTGTCTTTTTTGGTATAAAACGGCTTTAATTTAACAATCTAAGCACAAAGTCCAAAGTGCATGGCCATGGCGCAAAAGCACAAGAGGAGTATGCGATTCAACTTTTGCTATTTTAAGGATGGGAAAATGGTCTGTGCACCAGGCGCATGGTCTAAAAGGATTGTCCTAATTTTCTTAATGAGTTGTGGGTGTGTTTTGGACTTAATTTGCATTAAACAATAAGAGTCTCATCGCCTATTCCTAATAA